CAGGCTCTACCTGCTTTAAGCACTGTGCAAGGCATTGCATACAGAACACAAATTACTCTTTAAACTTGGCATACTTGTTGCTGGTCTGAGTATTTCAGGAACTGCCAACCTACTGGGATTTTCCAACACAACCATCACTAAGGTTTACAGAAAATTGTATGGCTGAGATGACCACTTGTTAAACACTTACAAAAAAGACATGCAAAAGAGCATCTCTGAACACACGGCACACTGAATCTTGAAACAGGCGAGCTACTGTAAAGCACAAAATTGAGGCTGCAGTTCATTCAGGCTCACCATAAGTGGACAAAAGAAGATTGGAAACATGTTGCTTGGCCTGACAGGTCTCAATTTCTGCTGATACAAACATGAAAACATGGATCCATTCTGCCTTGTATCAGTGGTTCAGGCTGGTAGTAGTCTAAAGGTGTGGGGGATGTTTTCTTGGCACACTTTGGGCCCTTTTGTACCAACTGGGCATCATTTAAATGCAACAGCCTATCTGAGTATTTCTGCTGACCATGGCCTTCTCTTGTGACCCGATAATAGTAAGATGTAGTTAAAGGCCACTGAACGTATTTAAATGTATCAGAGTCACACCAGCTTCTTTTTCTGAAAAGTAGTAGTACATAGTCACAGTGTTTCCTGTAAATCACAGGTGTAGAACTCTAGGCCTCGAGGGCCGGCGTCCTGCAGGTTTTAGATCTCACCCTGGGTCAACACACCTGAATCAAATGATTAGTTCATTACCAGGCCTCTGGAGAGCTTCAAGACATGTTGAGGAGGTAATTTCTCCATTTAAATCAGCTGTGATGGATCATGGACACATCTAAAACCTCCAGGACACCGGCCCTCGAGGCCTGGAGTTGCCTACCCCTGGTTTAGCTTAACAGTATTTAGCATTTTCAGTCTTAAAGCTATGTCCCAAAGCTTCATGTGCGTTTCATAATTTTGTGAATTTGAGGAATGTGTGACAGTGGCGGCAATGTTAATACTTCAATAAAATCTGTCTAAACCGTCTGGCTATTATTTTAAAGCACCGAGAACTAAATAATACATTTGATTTTAAGAACATATCACGTGTGTTTCCAGGGTGACTGGGACAAACAGCCCATACCAGCGGTGACCTCCGTCCTTGAAAAACCTCAGTACACCTGTAAGCGAGGCACGCTTCGCACCAACTGATGCCTTACACCTTCAATATGAGCAGCAGGGAGTTCGCAGGATGTTTCAGCCCGAGGAAAAGGGAGACCTCAAGAGTGGAAACCCAAACAAGTTCCCACAATTTTATTCAGTTTGCCTTGGTTTTTATGTGTTTGTTATCTACTTGCTGTAACTATATACTTATATAAATTCCTGCAGTCTGTGTTATCGTTAGTACATATAAATTCTGTTAGTAACAATCACATTTTTTCCCCCCATTGAAACCATTTAAAACTCTACAAATTGGGAATGGCAGGTATCAAACTAAATTAAAATAATGCTGGCAGTTTTTTTGTAGCTGTTATCAACAGACATGTTACGTTTGTGCAGAGACATAACATATCTGCATGTTTGTTCCCTGTGATCCTGTTGACCAACTCAAAACATTTGGGCTGGAAACATGATGTCATTTGGTGAATAATTACAATCCGTACTAAACACAGCATAATAAGTGACTTGAGTGTTATTCAAAGGCAAGAAATTAAATAAAAATAATTTAAAATAAACACATTTTTATCCTTTCCTTAGTTAAAGTAAATGGATGGATGAATAATGAATGTCACAAAGTGTTGAATGTTAAATAGACATTTATTAATACACAAATCGCTTTGGACAGAAGAAATGAATGAGGGTTAACATTTGCTTTATAATTTGACTGGCCGCCACATCTTTCCACCTCTCATTTTTTATTCATTTTAAACTGGTCAAGTTTTTCTCTCTAAGCATTAATAATAAACGCACAGTCCAAATGTACATCCAAACATCCAATAACAAGATCAATTTTAACAACAAGCCAGTTTTCCATCGAGAGGTTTTCAGTGTTTAATCATATTACAGGAAGAAGAAGCTAAAAAACAAACAAACAAAAGAAACAGAAACTCTACCTACAATGTGATAAAAGAGCTGCAGTGTTTTATCAGCATGTTTCAAATTTCCCACATAAATCTCGTTATTAACCTAGACTGCTCCTGAGAACAACCATTGCAATGATTAATGGCCTTGTGAGCAGAATCGATGAATCATTCCACATTAGTAAACATTTCGTGCTGAACTGGTTTCAACAAACATCGGCGGGAGAAGCAGGAAACACACATACAAATGCCTTCCATTATTTAGACACCTTTTTCTGAGCTGTTCACAGTGTGTGTGCTGGACTCCAAGTGTATTCGTGTAAGTTAGAGTAAACAAAACATTGTCTTATGAGTGTCAAACCAGATTTAGATGCTTGTGTAAACACCAAGAATAATTATAACTAAAAAAACAGCACCTACATTAAAGATAAGATTCTCTGTACATTAAGAGCATTTAGTCTTTAAAAAAAAAATCTATATAAGCCAAGGTATTCATCAACAACTTAATTTTTCCCAGCATGACATCTATAAAGTCATGTCTTGCGTTACTATTAGTTTCAAATTTAAATATTAAGGAATTATAGCAAAGATAAAATGAGAGGTTTACCTATGCATAAATTATCTGCTCGCCTTATTTAGCAAACTTCTATCTGTTAAAGAACAAAAGGCGGTACATTAACACATAATGCCATGACCATGAGGGGACGGATCAGAAGACAAAGGAGATATTTTCCCAAAACTGTTTTCTGAAAACTGCTGTCTTCTGTTATTCGACTTCATTAGTGTCTTGTTTCCCTGGTACGTCGTGCCTTTGGGTGTTTCTTTTTTTGCCTTCCTTTCTCTCCCAGGATGACTGCTTCAGATTTAGAGAACAAACAAAAAAAAAGCCTCTGGATTTTGTCATCATTATCAGCACAAACAGTTATTGTATTCTCTGTAAATGTCTGTATTGTTATAATTTTACTCCCCATTACAGAGTATTAGTATAACCAAGTAAAAGGTCAAATTAACACCGCCATTAATATCAAAGTACTTCTAATAAAGGATAGCTTTCTCTTCAGCCTGATTAGCTTCTTCAAAGGACCTTCCCACAAACTGAAAAGTATATTTATTGATATTTACTTTGGATAAAAACATCCAAATATCCGTTGTATCAGCTGTTTGTACTGTTTAGAACACACACACACACACACACACACACACACACACACACACACACACACACACACTACTGACCAAATTCTATCCAAAGAGTTGCACTGAAAACTCTACTAACAGGGTTAGTTGCAGATTAACAGTTAACTGTCTTTACTATTTCTGGCTGTTGATCCTTTGACATAAACAACCAACAGATGTTTTAGTTATTATTTAAAAAGAAAAGAAACGGTTTGAAATACATCATCCGTTATTAAAGTTCTTAAGTTAAACCCTGGAAAGATGAAGGCAATCTGGACCACAAATCCCTCGACTCTTAGAGATAATACGATCAGTGTATCCCTTGAACGTTTTCATAGTATTAGTACTTGCATGACGATTCAAACAGTGTGCTGTTACTCTCAGAGTGGATATAAAAACGTGGAGACAAGAAACAGAAGCACCCTTAACAATCCAGTCATATCTGATTTTTACTGATGCACATTTTTCACCAGCTTTCAACATGCAACATTTTACAAATGAGCATAAAATCGATCATACGCACATGAGTCCCATCAAATCAGAACAAAATTAACAACATTTGAGATGAAGACAAAAACAGCTGCTCGTACAAAAGGTTGTAAATCCCTCCACCTCTGGTGCCGTTCTGTAGCTGGTGTGTTTTTCGTCAGTTTTTACATGTGTGGTCTGATCTCAATCATAGATGCCCTTGACACGCTTATTCTCAGGGTCAAAAGGAGATTTGAGGTGTGCTTTGGCCTTGTATACTACTCCCATCCTCTCCAGGGTAAACTCACCACTCTTTATGAAGTTAGCGCTAACCTGATGAAGAAAGAGACGGTGAGAGAAAATGATAAGTCATAAAACACAAAAAAGACAGAACGATAAGCAAGTATGGGGAGGAGAATTTCAAATGTGTCAAACAAGGACACAGTAAAGATGAAAATGACAAGGGAGCAAAAAGAGATGAGCAAGAATCCACGTACTTTGTAAACCAGAATGACGGAGCAGCTCATCAGGCTCACGATCCATCACAATTCATAAATTGCATACAATGCCATTTGTGACTGTGCGATTTGTGATGGATGGTTCTGTATATAGTCCGTAAGATGACAAATAAAACCCTGACCCTGAGCACAGTTTGGTTGTAAATGCTTGTGTGCAAGTATCACAAAAATCTGACAAGTCATAGAGGAGGAACACCATTACTTGTTGGTTGTATAAAATACTGCTCCGAGCAGGCAGATTATTCCAGAACGGACAATGTGACTGCAGGAGTTTTAAAGCACAGGAAGCTATCAATTCCCTCATGACTCAGTGTCAGCTCGCTCGTAACACCAAGTGCTAATTTTCACTGACTGACTCCCCGACTCTCCCACTAATCTGTCACCGTGTCTCGAATTCATTCGCTGACAGACACATGCTCCATGTCCTGGAGCCTCACGCTAACCATACGCGTGCATACTACTTGTTTATTACTAATCAAAGAAAAACCTTGAGAAGAATTTAAATGCAGAAATACATGCAGGGACATATGACACATATCTAAGCAGATATTAAAATCACAGAAGTCAACTGCTGCACGCAACCTTAGCTACTAATCTAATCTGTCTGATATTCAGTTATGACAACGGCTCGTGTGATCATTTTAGTTTTCTGCACTTTACTTTCAAGGATTTAGTAAACTCGACACATTTTTTTCACAACAGCGCAGATCTCTGCCATTTTCATATTTTAACACAAACACTGGAAAACGGGAGAGAAAGTGGTCAGAATAAGTGTGGGCACTGCAGTGTGTTGGTGCTTTTAAGGCACTTACCACTCCTCCATCTGGATTGCGGATGTATCCATAACCAATAGTTTTGTCGATATAAAAGCCATAGTCGGCACGTCGGAGGTGACCAACAGGAACACCATTGCGGTAAATAGCCTCCAGACCAAACATCGGGACTTTCCTAAAAGCCACAGAGTAAGAGATGCAGATAATGATAACAGCTTTATCTCAAAACAATGTTGCAAAGATTTTGACATTTGACAATGAAAGACTGGAGGCAGTGTCAAGTTTTCAACAATACAACCCTGTTGCCGTTTCACTGGATTTGTTTGTTTTGGACCGCTTTTGATAAATATTAACCAGTGCATCCCAGTAACAGCCCACAAGACCTTTCTGAGAAACTCAGACCCCGCCATCACAACTGACTGCTGTCAGTGGGTCAGAGTTTCCTGCTTCCAGCACATCAACTTTAATAACCGACTGTTCACTTGCAACCTAAAATACTTCATTTCCTTGACAACTGCCACTGTAACGAGATAATCAGTGTTATTCATCTCACCTGTCAGTGGTTTTAATAATGTGGTTGTTTGGTGTATAAATACAGTCTCAGGTCTCAGAAAATGAAAAGATTTGTATTTTTTTGGTGTATTATTTACTTCATAAAATAAGGTTATGAATCTTAAATATTAATAGTCAGAACTACTTAAACATAATATATCTAAAGATAACATTTATAAACTGCTTCACCTGTTCCCATCTTTCGCTCTGGAATAAAACATATATTTGATTTTATTTGATTTTTCAAATCAATATTACATTTATTCACTGCACCATCTTTAAATATAATGATCCTGTTGCCTGGGAATAACATGGATGGTTGCTGTGCTGCTGAAAATATTTAAATTACATCTATAAATGCCCCCCCCTTAATTAATTTTCTTAATTTCTTTCTGATGACTAAAATATCATGTCACGACAGAAGCTCTACTTACTCATCAGTGGTGAAGCAGACGATGCGCCTCTTCAGTCCCTCCTTCTTCTGTTTCTCTAACATATCACGACCCTGGAAAGGGACTGAACTCTTCAGCTTGCAGGTGAAGGCTAGCCCCGCCTCCAGTGGTGTGTCATCAGGGCGCAGGTCGGCGTGCCAATGCCTGTACCCTTAAAAACAAGAAACACCGAAGATTAGAGTAAAAGCCATG